TCCAACGAGAACGGCACTAGTGCCGTTACTGGATTCAGAACGGCACAAGTGTCGTTTTGCAACCTGGATGAAATCCATTGACAACGGCAATAAAGATAAAATGTATTTGTTGATAATGACAAAGAAAATTGATGAACCACCTAATATTTGTATGCAACAACCCACAGAAATCATACCAAACCACAATAATCAACTTCGCACTACAAGTATGGCTGCGAAAAAAAGGTAAAATACAAGCGTTCGAATTTACCTCCTTCCAATGACTCCTTGCTCGAACTTCTTGCTAAAACTTCTGAAATCAAATGGCCGTTGCTTAATCACGCTTGGGTTGGGCGCTTCGAGTGGTCCGCGATTTGGGGATATTTTACAGGCTGTGTGGAGGTTGAAGAAGGAAGCCGGGAAATTTCAAAAACTGGAGAAGGGTTTACCGTGGTGAAATTAGGGAATTCAACGGTGAATTTTGAGTTAATAGGTGAAGGGTAATTTTGTAATTTTGTAATTTTATTATATTTTTCTTTTTTTTTTTTATAAAACATGGGTCAAAGGCCTTTTGTCCAATTTCTTCATTGAACCCGGCTATCTGGCCAAATTCCCCTTGTGAAAAGTAAATTTTTTTTCTTCTCTCTTCCTCTTAAGATTGTGGGATTGAAAATGAGTTTAAAAAAGAGAAAAAAAAATGTGCTTTTAAGAATCTACACCAAAAGAGGTAAATAATATTGAAAAAATAAAATAATTTATTTTTAGCCATGATATTTTCAGGTATTACTTACAAAACAACGTCTTAAAGAGGTAAAATTAGTGACTTGAAATCAGCCGGTCCAAATTTGGCTAGAAAAGTTGAGCGCTTGCCCGTGAACCTTTCTCATTATAGCATAAATCCATTCCAAAAAATTGAGACAACTCTCCACGAACCGGCTGAATCAAGAATTGGATGACATGATTGAATTTTGCGATTGTACTCTTTTAACATTACCCATGAGACAATTGATATGGATATTCTTAAAGTCGTGAAACCTTAAAGGATTATTGATACAATTTTGTTTTATACAAATTAAAGTTAATTAATTTTTGTTTAAAGATTTTTACTATCATCCTAATGCCATTGGACCAGTCTTCTGCCGTGGAATCAACATACGAATGAAAGGAAAGGGACAAAACATCCTATTGTTAGACAACTGAGAAATGCTCAAAAAACATTGGGTTAATTTCATTTTTGTTCACAAAACTTTCAGTGAAATGAAATTTCAATTAGGTCACCCAAGTCTAATTAGTCGGAACCAGATCACTAAACTTTAATGTACTTTTAATGTTACTTATTCTATATATGCACTTTTACTAAAATTAAATGTCCCAATCCTCCGTCCTCCATTTCTAGGTAAATTCTACAAAATCTTGAAATTGAGAATGAATAGAGTTCATAGTATGCTCTATCGGATTAATTACCATTGACTTTTAAACACAATTCATTTTCTAATATTACATGCATGTCATGACTAGATGACACATTTACCAAGAAACATTAGACACGTTAAATTGTTGTCAATTGTTAAAGTTCGCCTTTTTTAATTCTTAGACGAAAGCCAAACTTTTCAATTTTTTGTGCACCTTTTGCAAGCCCTCCTCTCTTAGTCAAGTATAACCAGAGCTTCCTACTGGTAGTTTCATACGTTGTTTTAGCTCTAACTTCCACACTTTGTTCAGTTCCCCAAAAGGAGCCTTTTTCATATCCATCTAGTGCTAAGATAGGGGTTGTACTCCTTGTGCAGATTTATATACGTCTTATACATTTCCTTGATCTGAATCAATTTCAACAACACAATTTGAAACCTCTATTATGATTTGTAGGATTGTGATTTTTATTTTACTATTGAGACTACTGGAATGACGAGATTGCTAGTAAATTGAAGTTCAGTGATCGCTATGACAAGTTAAAGTTGGAAAACCTAATTGAGATTTCACTGAAAGTTCAATGACAAAAAAAAAAAAAAAAAAAAAAATAAACCCAAAAAATTCTTAGGAATTATCGGAAAAAACCTTTTAAAATATGTCTAGAATGTTCAAACATTAATCTGAGAATTCTTGTACGCAGGTTTCAGTTCTTGTAATAATCGATCCGTACCTAGCCAATTCTTGATTTTTAAAGACTTCAAGTTTTGTAAAACCAAATTTAATTAACCCAGAAATGCTGAACAAAATCTTTGGCCACAAAAAGCCCAGTCCTCCGCCTTTCAACCACCATGCTCCGCCGTGGACCACCGACCCCCCGCCGAAGAAGGGGTTCCAGGCTTTCAGGGGCCCTGCAGAGAAAGGATTGCGGGCTTTGAAGATTGTTCATGCAGGTGGCAGTGCTGAATATTATTACATGGCTATTCCAGCAACCAGGATAATTGAGAAGTACCCTTCTTTTATTTTAACCAGGCCCGAAGTCTTCCGCAGGCCTTGGGACTCTATTGTTCGGCCCGAAGAGATTCTTGTTCCTGGCCAAAAGTTCTATATTGTTCCACGCCGTACTGTGAAGAAACTCAGGCGTCGAATAAAGAAAACCAGCAGTGAATTGGGTGAAACGAATGTGTCTCAGCAAAAAAATAAATTTTCTACATCGAGTATTATGGCTAAGTCAGGCTCAAATAAAAAAGCTCGAAATCATCGGGTGAGGTTCTTTGGCATTGATGTAACAGCAAAACAAGAATCTGATTCAGTCCCTTCTAATAGGAAAGTGGGTTCTGTTCCATCCGATAAGAAAAAGCCTAAAAAATTGGGAACTGATGGCAAAAAGCGAATGGCCCGATATTCAAGCGCATGGGAGCCATCATTAACTTCGATCAATGAAACTTCCGGGCCTGATGACTGATGAAATAAAATAGAGAAGAAAAAGCCCTAAATGCAATTAGATGGCCATGTTTTCCCTTCGAACACTTCAAACAAATCTGATCTAATACTTTTTTTTTGCTCCCCCCCCCCCGCCCCTGCGCCCCGCGATGAACATTACAATTTTAATTTCATACACAATTAATCGTCTTCTACCTTTTTTTTTTAATTTATGTCTCCCTAATATTATCTATGCTCTTTATGTAAGATGTATTGTATAATGCTGAATTATATTAATTTTGTCTTTTAGCCTGCAAATTGCAATGGAGTTTCTTGTTACCCCCGATTTTGAAGTCTAAAGAGGCTAGGCCACGTGGCACGCCACGTGGCAGAATGGTCAACAAGGAGTCAAGAGGAGGGCCAATAGGTCAGAAGTCCCAGTGAAAAAATAGCCCGAGGTCCTTAACCCAGCAACAGATGCTGTCGCATTAACAAGCCTCGGCCTGAAGCACCTCCTCAAAGACGAGGCACAACCCAATCCGAGGTTCTTTCAGGCTCGCCCGAAGCTCATGAAACTGACGCTGCCTCACAACAGATTCGGAGATCTTTTTGAATTGATTGATGTGACGTCTGCAGTAAAGTGTCTGTAGTTTTAATCAATGGCAGCCTACGACTAGAACGGCTGACCTTTAGTCAAACATTAAATGTAATGAGTGGACAGTGATGTGAAGCTTCGGTTTAAGGGATGTCGTCACGTGGACTTGATCCGACGATCATCACGTCGACTAGAACAGTATAAATAGCCACTCTCTGTATAGAAAAAGGGGACGATGGATTGATGCAAAGAATATACAAACACATACTTATACAAACACTCGAAATCTTACTAAAAAAAAGGGAACTCATCTACTCATCATATCTATCATTCCACATATTTTCATTATCATTTTGTTTAAAGGAGATCATTGATAGTGTGATTGTCCTAGAATCATATCGCCGGAACCTTAACATTTTTGTCTCTCGCAGGAAAGTACCTCCCACGTTCACTACAGTTGGATTACCGTTCCTATTCTGGTAAAAACGTGCTGGACCCGTACTTGACGTGGGGAAAGTGGGCCTGGCATCCGTTGAGTTCATTTTTTGGGGTCAACATTTCTCTTTAACATTTTTGGGAAGATTGTAATGTAGTTAGGATTAGGAACCAACTTGCATTGAAATTTCGCAGCCTACTAAACTTTTAACAAGTTACATAATTTACATTTACACAATTTAAACTATATTTGTTATGCCGCGTCCAACGTAGTAGACTGTGGGAACCAGTTAAGAAAATAGAAGTTGTTACGCCTCGTTATCAAGGCTCAAGTCAAAGTGCCACGTGGGCAGAAAAGTCAACAAAGACCCAATGGTTAGAGATAAAGAAATCATATGAATGACTGAAACTCTTAAGTCGAAACACTGCCTAAACGGCTTAAGTGCATGAATCCGAATTGCTACATAAAGAAATGGAAGAAGCCAAAGCCTTTCATGCGGAAGCCCTAAATTCACCTAGAGCTCTTGAAGGTGAAGTTGTCTCTTACAATATCCTTAGGCAATCTCTAGAAATGATTGATGTAATGTTTGTAATAAAGAATGTCAGGTGTGTCAGCCTATTGTATAGGGTGGTTGACTCATTGTTAATGTATTTATTGTATAATAGACAGTGATGTGAAGCCTCGGTCAAGGAGATGAGACCACGTGATTATGATCCAACGGACACCACGTCGGCCGAAACAATATAAATAAGCCCTCATTGTAACTAGAAAAGGGTTGGATTCTTGGACTTTAGACTCTTAAACCCTTGATCCTTTATAATACAAATGTTCTTGCAAATTCTATACATATCATCTTGTTTTTTTCCATATACATTAATTTGATCTTTTTTATCGGTTTACTTGGTATTCGATTGGTGATTGTTGTTAGCGCAATCATCTTTGTTCCATCCGTTGGTGTTTGAACACTTTTGTCTAATGCTGTAAAACATCTCCCACGTTCACGTTCATCCCGCTTCTTATTGGTGCTCCAATCAAAACACGCCAAAAGTTTTGCTTGAGATCAGTTTGATCCTTGAAAAAAGGAGCATCTAGTTAGAAAAAAGCTCGTTGACATAAGTTCGGACAGTGAAGAAAATGTACGCTGGAGGAGGAGAGAACACCCTGAAGAAAGGGAACCCTTGCGTGCCATCTCAGCCGCTTGCCATCGACCTCACCAACAGCATAGGTGAGGCGGGTCAAGGGACGGGGGAAGGGCTGCAACAAGACTTACTAGGGAAGTGGCCATAATGACCGCCAATATGAGGAATATAATCCATCCACCTTAGAAGTCTGTAAGCATCTTTGACAGATTGAACCCAGGGGAGCCTAGAAATAGGTAGTCTCAACCTCCCACTATGCTTAGAAATAGGCAGACTCAACCTCCTCATGTACCTAGAGATAGGCAACAGAAGCCTCTTAAGTTCGAAAGACGAGATGAACATGTTTACGATAAAGCGCTTCAGATCCCTCCGCCTAGAAATAGGCGTGAGAGGCGAGAGTGGGCCAGAAGTGAAGTAGGACCTTCCCATCCACCATCGGAGACTCAATTTAGAGAAGATGCGGATTCTGATGAACTACAAAGGTCTTGCGATCTTAACGATAATTCACCATTTTCTTAAGCCATTAGAAATGCCCCCATGCTGTACAACTTCACACTCCCCAAAACTCCCAAGTATGATGCGAGAGGTGATCCCGCGAAGCATCTTAATAGTTTCAAGACTCTACATGAATCTAAAGGGAGCCACCCCAACCATGAAGTGTAGATCCTTCCACTTAACCCTAAGTGGAGCGACTGTAATCTGGTACACCAAACTACTAGAAGGGAGCATCCGAAGAAGGTAGAATTTTAAAAAGACATTCCTTAAGCACTTCGCCACAAACAAAGAAGGAGAATGACCTATCTAACGCTTGCAAAATATGAAGCAACAACAGGGCGAGTCTCTGAAAAGTTTCTTGTCCTACTTCACCAATAAGATGACATACTGTGTGCAAGTGATAGATAGGGAAGCTCTAACGGCCTTAAGGAGAGGATTGGACATGAACTCTCTCTTCTTGAGAGATGTGCAAAACAAGGACCCTACTAGTTATGATGCCTTACTGGAAATAATAAGGCGTGATATCCTCAATAAAGAATTGAGGGATCACAGAACAGGGCTAACCTAGAAATAGGGATGATGCGCCCCTCTATTGTACGTACCATCACTCCTATAGCTAGAACACTAAAGGTTGCATAGATATTGCGAGGAACCCTCAAAGTGCTAGTCAAGAGAGGAACATGCACCTCCGAAGAAATGCTCATCCTAGGTAGACCCAATAGCCTAGCAATGTTGAGCCAAGGCACCCCAATAGAAACGACTCTCCCAGGATGAGAGATATTGCCACGGAGTAAACTAGGGATGGTCAAAGATAAAGAATAAGCCCCTCAGCGAATGTTGGGTAAGAGCCCATCAAAGAAATTGATACAATTTTTGGAGGCCCATGCGTTGGGGGAGAATCTAGGAATTCCTAGAGAAATTGTGCCAGGAAAGCGGCGGACCCCCAATGACAAGCTTCGTAGTCAACCAAACCTCTATCGAAAGAAAAGTTCAACCTATCACTCTCACCCAAGATAATGTAGCGGGTGTGCATTATCCAAATTGTGATGCCCTGGTGGTGAGGACCGTTGTATCACACAATGGCCTAAAAAGAATGCTAGTGGATAATGGAAGATCTGTCAACATTATCTTTGGAGCCACTTTTGATAAGATGAAAGTTGATCACGAACTGGCCACAATGAGTTCCCCCTTGTATAGCTTCACAGGTGATAGGATCATCCCAATGGGTAAAATCACTCTAGCAATAGAGATGGGAACCACACCCTTGACTTCTCACCATTTCATGGAATTCTTGGTGGTGGATAATCACTTCGCTTATCACGGAGTGCTGAGGAGATCTGCTTTGAAGAAACTACGTACCATTAATTCCATTCACCATCTGTGCATGAAGTTCTATACCGAGAATGGCATAGCCATGGTTAGAGGTGATCAAAGGAACACGAAAAAATGTTGCTCGAATTCCCTAAGGAAAGCTGAACTAAGAAGCGTAAATGTGATCACCACAGACATTGACATGGATGACGTCCCTGAACAAGGAAAAGATGTCGAAATGAAGGATACGTCTGAAGAAAGGGCCATCCATGAAGTTATACGTACCTCTGAAAAAGAGGCTGTCTGTGAATAACAAACAACCCCTAAAGAAAGGAGAGCTGCTGAAGAAGCAGCTAGTTTGGAGGAGTTGGACGCTCGCATCATTGATTACGAACCTCTAACAACCCCTATGGAAGAACTAGAGAGCTTCTTAGTAAACCTACAGGACCCTTCCAAACATCTGTAGATTGGAAGAAATCTACCGATGGAAGCCAAGGAAAAGCTGAAAAACTTCTTACTGAAAAATCTAGACGTCTTCGCTTGGAAGCACGGAAACATGGTCGGCATTAACCCAAAAGTCAGTTGCCACCGCTTGAGCATTGATCCAAAGGCCACAACACACAGGCAGAAGAGGAGGGCTCTCAACTCGAAAAGATATGAAGCTCTAAAAGACGAAGTTAAAAGGCTAATCGATAATAGTTTCATCCGTGAGTCTGTGTATCTAAAGTGGGTCTCTAACCCAGTGTTGGTCAAGAAGCACAATGGCAAGTGGAGGATTTGTGTGGATTTTTCAAACTTGAATCAAGCTTGTCCCAAGGACAGTTTCCCACTTCCCCTGATAGACCAACTTGTGGATTCAACCACCGAACATGAACTTCTTAGCTTTATGGATGCATATTCCGGGTACAATCAGATCCCAATGTTCCCAACTTATGAAGAACACATGTCCTTCATAATAGACAATAGCCTTTATTGCTACAAGATCATGCCCTTCGGGCTAAAAAATGCCGGGGCCACCTACTAAAGACTTGTCAATAAAATGTTCGCTAACCTTATTAGGGAAATCA